CAACCTGAAGCTCCATCATGCAACCTCACGAAGGATAGCATGGTCACAATAGACTCATAGAAAATCCTGAGCATTTTCCAACAGATGTTTAAAAGACCTCAGCTGCCTTAGAAAATAAAGACGACGCTTGCCCTTCCTGTAGAGTGCATTGGTGTTTATTATCTATGTGTACTCCAAAAATGTAAAAGGTTACATTATACATGCTTCCCCTTGGCAGTATCATTAGAAGGCATAGCACACATTTCACTGCTGTGCAGATGATACCCAAATTTATCTATCCACAAAGTCAATTAACACACACTAATTAGATAAACTAGGAGACATAAAGACCAAGATGACCTCTAATTTTCTCAAATTTACACGAAACTGAAGTTACTATAAATCTTCGAAATATAATATCTAACCAGATTCTTACTCTGGATGGCATTACCTTGGCCTCCAGTAACCCTGAGAGGGACCTTGGAGTCAGTTTTCAGGCCCCTCTTCTGTGGAACCAGCTTCCAGTTTGGATTCAGGAGACAGACACTATCTCTACTTTCAAGATTAGGCTTCAAACTTTCCTTTTTGCTAAAGCATATAGTTAGGGCTGGACCAGGTGACCCTGAATCCTCCCTTAGTTATGCTGCAATAGACGTAGGCTGCCGGGGATTCCCATGATGCATTGAGTTTTTCCTTTCCAGTCACCTTTCTCACTCACTATGTGTTAACAGACCTCTCTGCAGGAGTCCTGACTTAAGCTGAAGATTTTTGATGCTTCCACAGATCACTCTAGAACAGTCCTGGCCCGAGGAGACCATGGAAAAGAACATCCAGTCCTATATCTTGGCTGGAAGCCACATGACACAATGTATTCCACTGTGAAGAAGGAAGCCTTGGCCATTAAGTGGGCACTGGAGAAACTCCAATATTACTTGTGTAGATAGGAATTTGATCTGGAAACTGACCACCAAGCAGCCACTTGGATCAATTCCAACAGAATTACAACAGCTGCCTGTTACAATGGTAGCTCTCACGTCAGCCTTTTAGGTTCACCATCAGCAAGTGTAATATACTGGCAGATTACCTCTTGCCAAGATTACCAATCTTGACATAACGAGGCCAGGAAGGGGACGACTTTGACTGTAGACATGGATGTGGGCTTGCACACAGGCATCCAGATATTCCACACACACGTGGATGCATGTCTCAAGGCCAAACAGTCAAACAAAAGGGAAGGGTGACCACTGACTTCACTATTTAAGCCTGTTTAAGTTGCCTGTTGCTCATATGGATAACAAGAGATCTTCTGGTGACAATGATAACAATCTGTCAAATGATTAATGAACTTACCTCAACCATAGACAGAAGATGAAGAAACTACACTGAACCAGGTCCAGAAGCTTTTAGTAGTTAAACAGAGAGAAACTGACCAACTGAAACAACAGTTGGAAGAAGAAGCAGCCCAAAGTTTTGGCAATAATAACCAATCTGATTGTTCCTTCAAAACGTAGCACAAACAGATAACAAAAATGACTCAACAACAATCATTACAGCAGGTTTATAGTCAAGCAAAGACAAATGTAAAGTCTTTGCGCTTCTACAAATTAAGGAATGAGTCAACACTAACTTTGACTTCAATGCATGTTTATTTAAATTTTTGAACATTGTTTAATAGCTTTTAGTTGCTTTTTCTTTCCTTTGACTAGATGGTAAATTTGTTCATATTTCTATCTGATTAGGAGACTTATTGCATTTCAAATGCATGTCCAAAGGCTGCCAGACCATTATGAAGCGTAGACTATAATAGACATGCTTACCATCTGACAGCACTGTGGGCGTCTCGGGGCAGAGAACCACACAGTACTGTTACAACTGTCTTTCGCAAGGCCAACTGTCAGAAACTCTTTGTGTGAGTAACAAAGTCTGTTCTGTAGTCGTGTGCCTCTTTGACACACATTCAGGCATCAACTGGTCTTTCTGCAAACTGGACCCACACAACCTCAGGCTGACCTCAATGACAGAGCTGCTAGTCCACATTCACACTCCTGGACAGTGAAAAGAACGTGTAGCAGCAGCTTGGGTCTTCATGGTTCCCAGAGAATTACAAAATAAAGAAAAGCATCCAGACAAAAATCAAATCAAACCGTACAGCTGGAAGAGTCCACACCCACGCTTAGTATGACTAATAAAAAACTTATATCTGCCAGTTAAACGTGCCGTTCAGATCACAGTCTAAATACAAGTAGTACTACCAATCCACAATAGCAAGTTATAGAGATTTAATCATCCAAAATGTAAATATTTAAATAAGGTTTAATTCTCCCTAGCCTTAGGACAAAGCAAAATTAATTAAAGCATCCTCCATTTGATTGAAATAATTCCAATTTGCATAAACTGAGACTGAAGCCCAAAATACTTGTCACACATGATAAAATAGAAGTTAATTAATAGACATCTATTATTTTATACATATGGCATTTAAATATGGCATTGAGTACCTTAAAATTGAATATATATAAATATATAATTTGAATAAAAAAATACACTTTCAGCAGGTTTTTATTCAGATTACATGAAATCACAGGTACCAGAATAAAACCTTAAAACACATCAATTAAAAGGAGGAGGCAGAGGCCAGCCCAAGACACATGAGCAAAGGTGCTAGTTATGGGGTCACACATGTACACTTATATGTGGAACCAGTTATATACGATCGGAGACTTTAATTATCTTCAGACGTTACATCCATTTAAGAGCTCTGCAGTACATGCTCCTCCCAGGTTCTAGCCAAATCCCCGTGTGGGTGATCACAGTACTGGTTTCTAAAATCTTTAGACGTAGTGAGTGCTCAAGAATGTGGTTTAGGTCGTCTCCAGTTCCTGCCATACAGTTACTTCCTTTGCTTTTGGGTACTTGATTGGCTGTCTCTATCAGGTCCTAATGGTAAAATGACTAAAATCAACATAACTTCCTGTTATGTTACTACTACTAGGTGCAATGGAGAATACTCACTATTGCATGTTTTGCTGATCTATATCGTGTTGAAGCACCAACTAAAATTTCACCTACATGGGATGATGATTACCCAATTGCCAGTATTGGTAGCCGAGAATCGGTCCGCCAGGACCTCCGCTCCTGGCCGCCGCCCGACTCACATTGCACCCGACCCCTACGGTGGTGGGTCTGCAGGAAGATGGGCCTATGTCCCTTTTTCGGGCCCGGCCACCAGATGCTTGCCCTCAGCCAGGTAACCCTGGCTGGAGCCAGGTAACCCTATCCCGGGCAGGGGTGAACTGTTCCCTCGATGGTCTTTTCATAGGGGTCTTCTGAATTACTCTTTGTCTGGTCCCTCATCCATGGGAGACCCTACCAGGGGGCAAAAGCCCCAGACAACATAGCCCCTGGGATCCCTGGGACACACAAACCC